AGAGCACTCATGGCGTCATAAAACCTGTCTTTGACGGCGCCGGAGCTACAGTCAATTTGGGCGTAAGGATACGCGATAAGCAGTCAACTTCCCGCTTGTGACTCTCCTTCATAGACGTTGTCAGACGAACCGCACAGAGACGACTATCAACAGGTATCCAGTCAAGCAAGGATACTTCCACCCAGTAGGACGATACCAACTTCTGCACATCCCGCCGTAGCAGCCTCTGGATTACCAGAGTTGCGTAGCCGGATGCGAGTGGAGAGCGATGGGGGGGGGGTTAGCTCCAACACAATGTACTCGCATCTTGAATTCTTGTTTCTGAGACAGCGTAAATCATTGCCAAACGAGTCCAGTGGGAGAGCAAGGGCAGCTTGCTTTGCTTGCTTCAGAGTTCGGACATTGAAGGCGGCCAGGTAGACTGAGTGTTGAGGCTTAAAGATTGATTCCGAGATACCTGAGGAAGTCGGTACCGTGTGATTAGCAGATGTTGCACGCAAAACCGATGCAAGACGAATGGAGTCATCAGTCCTAATAACTAGGCCCACAAGAGGAGGGTTATTAATGGAGTGGAGAGAGGGGAAAGGAAAAGCATATGAAAGAGAAATAAGGGAGGATTCAACAGTAGCATGTTTTTTCTTACCTGCCATGCTGTCGTTCAACTGTAGCTGCCATGCTGTATGCAGCGAGTAAGGCGAACCGGATTATGGCAGGACGCGACGGCTGCGGTGGTTATTATTAGACGCAGATATCATGGTTTTACGTGGACTGGGATACTGTCGGGGCGCCCACACACGGACAGAAGGATGATTAGGGTCCTCAATTGAAGTCTTTGGCTCAAAAGCCTGACCTTAATCAACGCAGCGGTGTCTGGCGGGGAATGTAAATGCATCACCGTTTCTGCGCAACCACATGTTCCAACCTGCGATATGGAAGACCTGGAGACTGTATTTGTCAGACCTCTAATCATTGACCAACCTGGTATGGGAGACTCTGAGTGTCCGGGGACACCCCCAGTGTTGCGCAATGGGTCGCTGAAGTGCGCCAACCGTCACATCACGGTAAGGTTCAGTCAATTCATGACGGAAATATTCGAAGAACAATTTCTGGTATATTAGAGAAATTTGCTCTCTCAAATCTTATCAGAATGCTTCAAATTGGTTCTTTTCACATGGATTCGATGAAGGATGTTCACGCATTTTCTTCCGTGAATGTGTGTGGCATTACCCTCATCAGTCCTTGTTGAATAGGTTAGTTTTCATGAGGGGGTGTGTATCTAGTTCTGAATGGTTCTGGGAAATCTGTACAAGCAAGCGACGAGTACAATGGTGTACGCATATCCCTCGGGCGCCAAATAATGAAGCGACTGAGAGCTTTGGTGGACAATAAGAGCTCAGGAGCAGGGGACGGTTGCCTCCGGAAACAGCCGTGACTTGTGCCACTTAGTGCGGCCGACTAGCCAGAAAAGTAACTGTCAATAAAACGATGACTGAAAATGAATGCTCCGTAATTCATTTGCAAAAAAGCACCGGAAAGATGGACCGAGTACTTCGAAGAACAGCTTAGCTGACCTCCTACATACAGTCGAATGGAACGTAAATCTTAATCGCCCTTTGGAAAAGAAATGAAGTATGAAGTCTCCCTGTCAAAACATGAGAAGGCAACAGAATCAGAGGGTGTGTATCCAGGTCTCTTCGAAGAAGGAGACTGACTGAACTGTTGGCGCAATATGGAGTGAGGAGAAAATGCATGTGGAGTGAAACACATCAACAGCCACCCTAGTCATTGGAAAGGAGCAGGTGAACGCTGTGAAATCTGCCATGGCACTAGCCTGCTAACTGCAGCATCGAAAGAGCTCTCTGGTCTCATCCTTTTAAGGTTGATTGAACGCAGAGAGAGGCAGATCTGTGAAAACCGAGCTGCGTCCCGTCACACAAGAAAATGCATCTACCACATTTTCGTCACGAAGAGACTGGATCTTACCGTGGTGTGACGATTTGCGCACCTCAGCGATCCATTGAGCTATACTGGAGGGTGTCCCGCGACACTCACAGAGTCTCTCACACCAGGTTGGTCAATGGTTGGAGGTCTGACGAACACAGTCTCCTGGCCCTCCAGGTTGGGGGTTGGAACATGTGGCGACTTGTTCCGTAGAAATGGTAATGCATTTGCATTTCCCGCCAAACACCGCTGCCTTGCGGTTATGCTTTTGAGCCAAAGGCTTTGGTTGAGGACCCTAATCGTCCTCCTGTCTAGGTGTGGGCGCCCTGGCAGTATCCCAGCCCACGTACAACCACGAATTGCACATACACAAATGAACTCATGACACTTCGGCCGTCAAGTGGTGCCATCAGCCGGGTCGCCTTACCTGCTGCATACAGCAGGGCGGGTAAGCGAAAACAGGCTACTGCTGACGCCTCCCTTCTTTCTCCTTCA